CGGGCAGCTTCAACTTCTTCGTCCAGCAGCTGAAACCAGGGATCTCTCTTCTTCCACCAAGGCTTCTGCCTCTGATACAGAGCAACAACCTCAATTTGGAAGTGGGAAGAGTCTAGATGAACTTCCCTATGCCTCGGTTCAGTGATAGAGGGGGCCCGATCAGTTACAACTCGTTCTCGGTTGACGCCAAGACGAGCGTAGTTAATGCCGACGTTGGTCTCGTCCCGCTCTGAAAAAGAAAAGGGGAAAGGTCAGTTCAGTTAGGTTGGCACAGCATAAAAAAGCGAAGTGAGAGGAGAAAAAGAGATAATTAAAAAGCCTCGGCCCCAGCCGAAGAAGCTTACCATCCTTAAACTTTCGGCTGAGGCCGACAGCTGCTAGCATGTTCTCTTGGAAAACATAATGCGTATCGGGGTGCCAAGTCTCCGGGATATGCTGCATTCGGCCGCTGCCCCCCCGGTTCGGCAGCTTGCCGAAGATATTCTGTTGATTAAGTTTTGGATCTGGGCCGTTATCTGCGGGGGGACCTAAGCTTCCCATGTCAGGATCAGGCTCAGCAAGGTACCGGGGAGCGCTGAAGACGCAAGGGTGGCCCGGGTCCGTGGGTGCCCTAACCCAAATCCATTGACCTCTCCAGTCCTTGTCTGAAGAGTCGTTCGGCCACATGGTTAGGTACTGGGGCCGAGACTCAATCCGGTACCACCCAGAACCGTGACTTCCGTGCCCACTTTGAATATTTGGCACTAGCCGATGAAGCTTTTTGAAGCAGTGCAGGTTCGGCACATACCTGAAGAACTTGCAGACCCATAAGTATGTCATCACCCTTCGGATGCTAGTAGGAGTTAGCTGACATAGGGAAATATTGTAATGGATCAGCAAGTCTCGGACGAATACGTCCAAAGGGAACCTCAGCCCATACTGAAGTTGTCTTGTGTACACCCCCACATACCCCGGGGGTGGACGATGGATTCTATCGGATGCCACGGGCATTCGGCACCAATACCCATCAGCTTCAAGGATGTCGTAATGCAACTCAATCTGTTCGGCAAACCGATACTGTTCGGCATTCTCCACCCACCATGAGTAGGGGCGGTTCTTTATCATGGCCGAAGCTACTTCGGCATCCTCCCACTCTGAAAACCCGGGGAGGATATCCCAAAGGACAGCGGGAACTTCATCGTCCCGCCCAGAAGCGCTCGGCCCCTCTGTTCTCTGAGGAGGAGCCGAGGAAATTGGAGTCGCCCTAATCCCTTCAGCAGGGTCAGACTCTGCTCTTCGTCCATTCCAGGTCCCAATCCTGTTCCTGGGATCGGGAATTGGCCTTGCTCTTCTTGGAGCACGGGCTCTACCCCTAACTCCTCTCGCCATTGATAATTTCGAAGAAAAAAGTCGAAAAAAAGAGGGAAGGAGTTCAAATTCGAAGAAAAATAAACTAAAATCAAAGGAATTTACCTTAATCTGAAGCGAAAGTTGCCGATTTACGAATTGGTAGTGGCAAATCTCAGTTTCTAAGCTTAATGCTCGGGGAATTTGCGAAGTTTTGATGCGGGTTCTTGGGTTCTCTCGAGAAATCTGGGTTTGTGTTGGTGAATAAGTGAGGAGAGATGACGCGCCTCTAATTATATCTCCAGAAATGAGAATACGGGGAGTCCGCGTTTCAATTTCTCTTAAATACCTCACTAAGTAACCGTTAAACACACGACCTTGCCATTAAACTGCCCATTATCCGTCCAACTTCCACAATTATCCGCCTTAACTGTTGTTATCTCATTAATTACGGTTTAAATTCAAATTTTTGGATTAATTAAATCATTCACTTCCCTCCTTTTCTGATTAAATCAAACCCGACCCGTCATCCTTCCAAATCGGGTCTGGGGGCAAGTTGTTTGGGTCCAATTTAGTCCAATTGGGCTTAGGCATTAAATGATCCAATTAAAAGCCCAAGGTCAAGGTTCATCTCTCCAATTGTGCTAAAGTCAAAGATCAGTCCTCAAGGCAAGCCAATTGGGCTAAGGCCCAACTTCTCCATGTATGCAGAGGTATAAAAGCCATCAATATTACATTTGTACATTCATTCAAGCAAAGCCTCAAGCAATTAATTCTCTTGCACAATGTTCTCTTTCTACACACTGTACTGACTTTAGCATCGGAGGGGCCTTCCTCGGCAACACCCCCGAGGCTAGTTTACGTGTGTTTACTGTGCAGGAAACCTTCGGCCCAACATTACTTGGATCGAATCTAGTCTTCTCCACTTCATCAGACCTTCGGCAAGGTCCCATTGTTTTCACCCGAAACAGAATGTATTTTTCTTTAAAAATTTCTCCGCATATCTCTTGCTATTTCGTAATAGAATTCTTAACCTTTCTACGTCTTACCAGTTGACCTAGCTACCACAACCTTTTTATGATTTTACCCTTTGAGGAGTAGAGAGATGGATAAGGGCAAATATCATATTTCACAAATAAAGCTTCTAATCACAATTAAGACCCACATAATAATCATAAAAAAATTGCCACCCTAACTAACACTAAGCAAAACAAGGGAAAAAGGAATGAATGTTAAATATCTAAAAATGAAATAATGTTGTTGTAAGACACCACTAGCTAGTAGCTACAAAATATTGTGAACGACCACTTAACCCATTAAACCCCCCAAAAAAGGTACATAAAGTTATAAACGGGCTAGGGCAAGTGGAGGAAGTGCAAAGTAACGTAGTTAGCTGTATACTTGTATGCTAATTAAGTTATCTTGAGATATCCAACTAAAAGATTGATCATTAGATTGGCCTCTTTGTTACATTAGCACTAACATCATTAGAGTGCTTTTAATCTACACGAGGACCATTTCTTTTTATAAAAAAATTTAAGTTAAGCCACATTTAGATCAATTCACCTTAATAGTACTAAAACTCATTATTTAACTCATCTTTAAGAGAAATATATGTGTGTGTAGGTTGGGTACAAATAAATTCACATCGGTTTCATTCAAAAGAAAAACAAAAACTAGTTCAGTTCTGAAAAAACATAGGCTACTCAAATTTAGTACGTTTACACCTAAATATTGGTAAGTTGGTTTAGAAAAAATAGGTTTGAATTAAGTTCGGTTAAGTTAATAAATTTATTGGGAGAAATAGGTTTGAATTAAGTACGGTACGGTGTAAGTTCAATAGTAGCGTAGTACAATAATGTTGGCAAAGGTTATACTTCTAATTCGTCATGACTATTTGCGTGCTCTGATTTTAATTTCTTCAAATATGACCTACCATTTTCACTACATTTGAGTATGATATAATGATCAAGAAAATAGCCAAGTGAAGTTCTCGAGTAATAGTAGTATTGATGACCTATCAATTGTCAATTGTACATTGCCTAGAAATATGTGGAGCTAATGTGAAACATGAAGAGTGTTTAAACAGTACTAAAGTGATATTTGAATAAAATGTTTAAACACTACTATTGAAACTACCAACGGTATTTTATATCTAGAGATAAGATTTTCTTTTTCACGTTTAGTCGTGAGGTCATTATCAATGACTTGTTACAATAACGAGTGTACATGAAGAGTGTTTGGGATTAAGACGCGAATGGAGGGAAGAGATCAAGGACATGTGTGGGGATTCATAAGATATGTTAAGAGTGAAAAAATATTTGATTGTACTAGTATATACCAGTTGTAGACTAAGACATTTATACATGGAGTAATTGAAGATATTTATCAAATTTTCAATGCAAATAACACAAAACTCAAAAACGATAGCATAAAATACGTCAAGTCGACTTCTTTTGATTGTGTGGGTTCCTAGATTGATCAAAATCTAGCAAATATAGCACAAGTATTTTTCCATCATTTAATTGTGTCCTTATATAAAGGAAATCGACAAATAAAGGAAGAAATTATTGAAAAGAGCAATTAAAATGGAAGGTCCCACAAAAAGGACATTTATGCCTTTTGTGTGCACAAATGCCTTGACCTATTGCTTTCCTTTACCCTCTTTCTTATTAGAGACACTAAAAGGTAACAATGAAAGGCCAATTTATGCTCCATAATCTATCACTATCATCCTAAAAGTTGAATGTTAATCTAATTAATTACCCCACAAATTCATTAATTCGCATCTCATTTAATTACTAAAGACAAATCTCCACGAACCAAATATGCGCATAACCAAGATTTCATCTTTTTTTTTAGCTGTAATACAGTGTATTTGGAAGTTTAATTATTTTTAAAAATTATTAGGGAGTATTAGATTAATGGTTTATCCACCACAACTATCAAATCTCTTGGTTAAATTATTATCAAATCTTAACAAAAGAGAAAAAAGAAAGGAGATCTTACTCAATGATGCTATTCTTGTCCAATCCTTAATTTTCTCATAAAAAGATTTCATACTTCTACAAAGAAAAAACTTTTTTGTAAATGGTCCTAATAAAGGATATTCATAGCACATGATGTTGTTGCGCAACGTTTTCAAAACTTTAACATAACTACAAGGAATGGCTAAGATCAATACAAGAGTGAGGAGTCACTACTAATATCTTGTTGTGGTGGCATTGAGTCATACACCAAGTACACTATTATGTGGGAGTGTGGGACTAATAATTTCTTGCGCCTAGGAGTGTCGAAGATAGTGCTTCTAATCAAGCTCATGCACCACATCCCACATGTGTTATGCGTACAGGGATTTATACTACTACCTCCGTTACAGGTTATGTGCAACAATTTGACATAAAGTAGAGAGAAAAAATGTCTAATCCACGGAGGTAGTAGTATTGATTTTTATTTAATTTTTTTTATTTTAAACCTACATAAATATTGCACAATTACACGCCATTAATTATTATACTTTATTCTCTCCTCCATTAGGAATAAAAAGGTGGTAATCTTACTTAAAGGATTAAGTTACATGAACAAACATATATAGTGCTTGGAAAGTAACAAAATAAAAGGTAAGGCATAATCAGATGCTAAGTTTAGAATTTGGATCATTGGACAAAAGAAAGTAAAAAAAAAAAAAAAGCCACTTCCATAGTTCCATTTACAAGAAGGACAAATCAAAACAAAGAAATTAAAGGGTGAACATACAGAACAAAGGATATACTCATATACCCCCTACTTTAACGTTACAACACTACACCACTTTGCTAAAACTGATCATATCATTTTCTTCCAATTTAATCGCTAAAATCCTAAAGATTATTAACGAAAAAAACACGAAAATCCGTTTGTTTTTTTTTTAAATTGTTAATTGAGATAAGTTAGAAACTACGATAAACTAACTAACTAAAACTAACTAACATCTGAAGAGTCTACAACTCACGAGGATCAACGAAAATAGTTACACCGGGCGGTGACTTAGTCCAGTCACCCACAGATCCGTCACTGTAGTCTTCCCCAAGTCTCTTAATACACCATATATCTTCGTCACAAGACAGCTTTTTCCAGTGAGGGATTCCAGCTTTTAGCGGATCGCTGTTAGCTACTTCAGTAGCCACAATACTGGACCCTTTTTCTTGGGCCAAGTTATGAGCAAATCCACATAAAGCCTTAACAAGCTTCACAGCTTCTGGGCCTTCACCCCCAAGCCCATACAAAAAATGAAGCCCAAATGGCTTAAAAACCTCCGGAAAAGATGGGATTTTTAAAAAAGGAAAAGCCCGGTCCATAATCCTACTTGTCTTAGCCAACCCTCTGCCCACGCGCGAAGCGCCACGTACTTCCAATCTCCAAAGATCATTACAGTTCCAAACACTGATAATCGCCCACGACTCGGGCGGATTAGACAAAAACTCATCCGCCCCAGGCCACAAGTCCAGCGCGTGTTGTCCACGTGTCACGGCAACAAACGTGCCAAGACTAAGAGGATTTTTTAAGATCACGTCGATGTCCCGCGGAAAAAACTCCGTGGTGGTGAACTTGTAGCGGTAGAGAATTTCGGCATCAGAAGGCAAAACACGAAAGATGGACACCCGTTTAGAGACCTTAGCTCGATGTTCAAAAACTGGTTGGACTAATATAGACGGTGTCCTGAACTTGGTGTAGCCACTTTTTTTAGTGAACAACGAGAGTGAAGCTTGGTTATCATTTTCCGTAGCTAAATACGAGTATTCCGCACCACTTTGGCGAAACCATTCTTCGAGTTTATTCACCAATTTTAACGCTATCCCCATTCTCCTATAAGAAAATAAAAAGTCCCGTTATTTATTTATTAATCATGACATTAAAACATAAATGCATAATTAGTATGATCATAATTTTATTTCATTTATTTAGAAAAAAAAATACATACCGGTGTGAAGGGGAAACACGAAGGCCTAAGATATAGGCGAGTTTGGTGAGAATAGCAGTAATTTTAGGAGAGTCGTGATTCTCGTAAAGGGTAGATTTGGAAGATCGAGTTAATTTTTTACCACAAGTAACGATTTTGATGCAACCTCTAATCATTCCCACTATCACTCGTTTTTCCTTCCCTTGTTCGTCTTCTTCCACTACTTCCGCTACCTGAAATTTTTCCACAACACATTTTCATTAAAAAGTCAATCCAATAGTATTTTGATAATTATAGTACAACTTCAAGAAAATTATAGTACTACTTGGAAGAAATTATTGTACTATTGTAGCACAATGTGAATAAGAAGAATTATTTTAACAAAATATATGGAGAATAAGATTCTAAAGTGTGGACCCTTTTCATTTAATTAACAACGTAAACTACTTGTATTTATTTTTATAATAAATCACATCAAACAATTTAGCCCACTCAAAGGTCATGACAATAATAATAATGTTAAAAAAAAGTAAGGGCATATCATCGGATACATGTGATCATGCAAACTAAAAAAAAGAGTTAACCCGGATTGGGAAGATTGGTGGTGGGTTCACACGAAACGAACCACGAACCCACCACCATCATACCAAACTCATTACTCCGTACAAATTATAACTACAATTCAAACGATGTGCAATATAATATATACAGAAGCGAACCCGCTTCGAAGAGGTTGAAGAAAAGAGAAGGAAGTATACCAGCATAAGAAAAGCAGGGGAGTGGCGTATGCGGCAAAGAGGGTCCCCTAAAAGATCAGTAAACAGAGAAATTTTAGAAGTGGGACCAACTTCACATCTCCTCTCTAATTCTTCTACTTCCTTACTATCTCTCTCTATTGAGTATTCTCTTACGAATACTTTCTCCATCCCCATTTTTTCTGTATTTACTACAACTAAGTTCGTTGTTGTTGTGTTAGTTGCAGTAGTGTTTGAACAAATTCACCTGTACATGGGTGTATTTATACACAAGAGCTTCTCACTAATCTATGCAACTCCCAACTATATAATATAATTATAATATAAGGTTGGTTATAATATAAAAAGAAAAAAGAAACGCAGCGTTTTCAAGGAGGTGCTGCTGGTGTATGATACGATAGGACAGAGAATAGGGGAAGAGAAAAGAGGATTTGATTGGATAATTGAAGGAAGAGGAAATTAGGCAGTTTCAATTTGTTGTTATTGGAAGTAATTAAGCTTTTTATTTTTATATTTTCTGTGTAATATATAGCAGAGTCTATGTATATATGCAGGTTTGCAGATATATATAGGGGGGAGGTTTTGACAGTAATAGAACAGAGGATTTTTTTTATATATTTTTTTTGAAAAATAGGGAAGAGGATGGAAAGCCGTTAAGCTTCTTATAACAATAAAAGTTATTTTGGGGAATTAAGAATGTTTTTCTTTTTAATAAAAAATTAAATAATGATGGAATATGGATGGATTATTAATATTATGGTTATAGATAAATTTAATCATTTGTTGAGATACTACCAAGTGCATGCTTCTTTTGGTTTTCCTCTCTTTTAATACCCACCTTCTTTCTCCCCCTTTTCTTTCAATTGTGTAATTATTTATGGGTAATGCTATACATAGCCCTTAGGGCTATATATAAGCATTGAATTTACTCTTGGAAAATATATAAAGTTAGAAATTCATGACAAAAACACGCGCAAATCGGTGTAATTAGTGTGTTTTTGTCATGATTTTCTAAATTTAAACAATTTTCAAGAGTAAATTAAATGCTTATATGTAGCCCTTAGGGCTATGTATAGCATTTTCCATTATTTATATTCCATTGCTCTAGAATCTCCTATCTTTTCGTCTTTTTATCAACACATATATTATACTCGCGTCGTGTACACTAATTATGCTTAATAAATTACTTAACAAACAGAGTACACTATATAAGTACTTAATCAATGTATTTTCTTATTATGTCTAGTTACAAATGATGTATTTTACTCCGTATAATGAAAATATATATATTTCATATATTGTAAAATTAACCATTTTCAAAATTAAATAGAGTAGATGGTATAGGAGGAGAAAGGGGAGAAATAAAAATATTCATTAAATTTGGTAAGGCATATTTATATTTATATAGGTAGAGGCAATAAATATATAATGATGAGGAAAAGAAATGGCGGCTGAGAGTATAATATACTGTATAGTTTTGTTTTAAAATAATTAAAATTATGATAATAATGATTAATTTATTGCTGCGTAAGAAGCGTTGCCATTAGGACCCCATTAGTAATGATTACCTTTCCAAAAACCCCTCATTCTCTATCTCCACTGCCATACATGATACATCCATTATCATTACATCAACATCAAAATCGCCATCAACATCATAGTCACCATCATGATGATGATCATGACATTTCCTTACCATTAAATTTTAAAACATCATAATATTGGTAGATCAATCCCGCATTTTACTCTGCTTCGGAGTCTTGTTCCTTTCTTGCTTTTCCTCTTTTTCACAACCCGCAACGTTATCTCTATGCATCTATTTTGTATGTATGGATATGCATGTTGCATCAAACATACATACATACATGCATGTTACATGCGATGACATGATGAACAAATGCAATTCATTCATTATTATTTCTTTTTTCCCATACTTTACTAAACCTCAATTCTCGCGGTTTTTTCATTTACTATATGATGCTATAAGGCAATTAATAAGGTTTTTGTTTTTAACAAAATTATTATTATAAATTATAAACAAAATCTTCTTCTATTTAAAAAAGTGTGGTATTGTGATGACATGGCTGATTGAGTGCCGTCAATTCCACATTCCAAGGCTTAACCGCAGTTTTGCGCCGTTTGATATATGTGACAAAATAGGGTAGGAAGTAGGATCATTACAACTAAACGATTTAGCTGATGCTGATCATTACAATAGAGGACAACAAATTTTTGGCATCAAATTAATAATCATCATCTCTTTTTAACCTCAATTGTGATTACTCTAGTTTTTAGGTTAATTTTATGCTTGAACATAAACATTTCTAAGAAGTTAAATAAAAAGGAGTTAAACATACAAAGTATAGAGTAAAGAAACGTAACTAACCACTATTTTAAACATATGATCTATGATAAAAATTACTCACTATATTCCTAATGTACTACGAGTACATTTATGTTTTATATTATACACGGTGACTAAGATATAATTAAAGTAGAGATATTTTCTTATTTTTAATGTAAAGTTAATATGTTGTACTTTTGTGATTACTCCATAGGTTAATTGAATGAGAATCCAGGAAAATGTTAAGTGAATGAAATTTGAAAAAATTGATTTCAATTCAATGGAAATAAAATTAATTACTAACACAAATTTTTAGGGGAAAAAATTGGAATATTATGTACTTTGTAATTCATAAAAAGGAAAATTACATAGCAAAGGAAAATGTCTATAAAAAGAGAGAAGGGGATCCACTTTCAAATAACTTAATTCAAAACTTATATACTTGACTACTTAAATTTGTATCTATGTAATAAATCTACACAACTAGTTTATATATTCGTCCGTCTCCTTATGGTGGAGTGTCTCCCTATGGTGGAGTCGTTAGTTTTTGTTAGTTTAGTTGTTTGTTTTTGTTTAGGGTTTGTTTGTGTGTTAGGGGTTATAAAAAAAATAATCATCTTTTGCCCTATTGTCAGTTCTTTAGTAAAGATTTGTTCGGAATCGCAACGGTTGTCAAATTTTCAAATGCGTTCAGGCGAATCAGATGAGAACATCCTTACGGCTACAACAAATCGTTAGACCGTCTCTGTGCAAGATCTTTTCGACGATCGTAGCTCTGATGAAGGAAAACCTAAGTTGTTCAATTTTATGTATATGTTAATTTAGATTTTATTTGTAGATGTCGGATTGCTCTTTATTAATGAATTTATTTGTTTAAAAAAAAAATTGTATCTATGTTGTACAAAACATGCTTAGATTAATGCTGAATAGTTTTTTGGGAGTCCAGGGGAAGAAGAAAAAGATCCATATGCAACGGATGTGATTACTTAATTAGTGAATATAATTGAAAGAGACTACTAATGTATTTCATAGATTAATTTGGCGGCAAAAGTAAAAGGCAGGCAAAACAAAGCGATTCTACTAATCATTAGAGCTTTTTAGGAAGTGGACACGTTAATTAATTTACTTAATTTGTGGGTTAATGTGGTAATTATATCATCATTGGTAAGGGCATTAATTTTTTTATTGGAACCCTTTTTTTTTCTTTAAGTGCATACTGATCGGAGTTTTCTCTTTTATTCTTCTCACTTCCACATCATTATCTTAATCAATTATAACTAATCCTAAGTTTTCTAAATACATATAAAAAGGTGATTAATGGTATTCCATTGCTCAATTCATTTTTTTTCCAGAGGTGGTCATGTGTCACACCAATTATATGAATATTATTCAAGTAAAACAATACCGTATTTCATTTAGGAAAATGCTATACATAGCCCTTAGTGCTACATATAAGCATTAAAAACACTCTTGGAAATTGGTTAAATTTAGAAAATTATGATAAAAACACAATAATTACACTGATCTACGCGTGTTTTTGTCATGAATTTCTAATTTTATACAAATTTCAAGAGTATTTTTAATGTTATATATATGTGTATATATATAAGGTAGGGCATTTCCCATTTTTATAGGAACTTCTGTACCAGAAACAATGGTATCTCCAATTATAGCCCCTCTGGGATGTAAAATATATCTCCTCGCCATCCCCATAGTGTATGAGACAAATGTATGCATTTCGATTAGGGTCGTATTCTATGGTTACGATTCTACCATATATGTCTTTTTCATTCCGTCGAAAATCGATTTTACGGTATAGACGCTTATGACCTCCCCCTCTATGCCTTGCGGTAATGATTCCTCTGGCATTACGACCTTTACCACAACGACGCTGTCCATAGATCAAATTATTTCGTGGATTGGATTTCACTTGATTGTCTACGGCTCCATTGTGTGTGCTCGAGGTAGAAGTTTTGTATTAATGTATCGCCATGCTATTAAGTATTTTGATTTAAATTCTTTTATTTCTAAGAGGTGGAATAGAATAACTCGATTGAAGCGTAATGATCATACGTCTGTAATGCATTGTATGTCCCATAATAGGTCCCATCCTTCTACCCTTTCCCGGGAGTCGATGACTATTCATAGCTATTACAAAGTTCGACCCAACCCTTTAATTTATTTACCTACACTACAAAAATAAAAGCTTTTTAGCAACTAAGTTTGGCAACAGATTTTTAAAATGTTGCTAAATAGCAACAAATCTAAATTTTTTCATTGCCTAATTAAAAGCGACATTTTATGCTTTAGTTTTTAATAAACAATGGCTACATATTTTTGATTTGTTGCTTTTTAAAACAAATTGTCTTACTAGTTGTTACTAGACGGCATCATATTTTTCTCTAGTTGCCAAATAGTAACAAAATATGACAACAAATATTTTATTTGTATTGATTTAGAAACAAAAAATACAATGAATTTTTGAATTGTTTCCATTAGAAACAAGTCTTCTAAATTATTGTTGCTAATTGATAACGCATTATTTTGTTTGTTGCCATTGGAAACGAGTTGTGTAACATATTGTTGTTAATTTATATGTAAGCCACTTTTTGTTGTAATGTATAAAATTATTTGTTGCTAAAATGACATCAAATAGAGACGGATTTCAATTTCGTCTCTAATTTAGAGATGGATTTTTTATTTTGTCCCTAATTTGGAGACAAATTTTTCAATTTCGTCTCTAATATTTTGTTCAATTATTATAAATTGTATGCATAGAAGTAAACAAATAGTACTTGGTATAGTTGGTAAGAGATTGACAATCTGATTTTGAGGTCATAAGTTCGACTCCTACCAAATGCGATTCTTGAGACTAGGGATTCAAAGAGCCTTACATGCAAAGTCGAGCCGAGTTGACCTAACCTGAGTGAGATTTCAGATTGGTAAAGGCCGAGATCGGGTTGAACCGAAATGCTAATAGGGATTGGGTTTTTGTCTCGTAGTGTTGATAGCAACCAATATTAATGATATGTAGCTAATTTTATGAATCAACTTTAATAATTTGTTGCTATTTTTAGGAACCAACATTAATAATTTGTTGCTATTTTAGAAACTAACATTAATAATTTGTTGCTAATTTTAGCAACAACCAATGGTAATCTGTTGCAAAAGTTGGCAACAAATGCACCAAAAACAGCAACAATCATGGAAACTATATTTAAATTGATGCAATATTGCAACAAAATTGCTTTGCAACTGGTTTCCAAAATCCCATGGCAACAAGCCTTTTAGCAACAACAAATTTTTGTTTCCAACCCGTTGCTAAATAGAGTTGGCAACGGATTTTTGGTGAATTGCAATAAATTTTAGTTGATGCTATATTAATTTTTTTTTTGGTAGTGCTAATGGAATAGAATAGTATTGTCGATGAAAATGTAATTATAATTCTAAAACAAAAATTAATTTAAAGTCAAGTAAAAATTTAGAATTTGTTATACTACCTTTGGTCCAATTTACTCGCAACA